TACGGATTTTTGGTTGTCCTGCTTATGTGCATGTACCTGCTGATGAGAGATCCAAACTTGATGCAAAATCGAAGGAGTGCATTTTTCTGGGTTACAAGAAAGGTGTCAAGGATTCAAGTTCTGGGATCCAGTTGCGAAGAAAGTTGTGATTAGTAGAGATGTCGTTTTTGATGAACAGTCTATGTTGCAGCAAAAGCAAGACACGACGGTGGTAGATTTCGAGCAGTTTCCAGTTGAGAAACCAGAAACTTCTCAAACGACTTCTGATGGTTCCACTACGGATGATTTGCAGGATTATAGTCGCCAGAGACAAGGTGAGACGGACAAATAAAGCCTCCGAACAGATTGGGTTTTGAAGACTTGGTATCTTTTCCACTTACTGTTAGCAGTGATGATCCAGTTACTTTTCATGATGCCGTTACTAGTCAGGAAAACGACAAGTGGATGGCAGCCATGGTTGAGGAGATGGAGTCTTTGAATCACAATCGCACATGGGAGTTAGTTCCCCTTCCTGAGGTTAAGAAGCCGATTGGTTGCAAATGGGTGTATAAGAAGAAACCATCAGTAACAGAAAAAGAGGGAGAAGTTCAAGGCTCGTTTGTAGCGAAGGGTTTTTCACAGCAGAAAGGAGTTGATTATGATGAAATCTTTTCTCCTGTGGTCAGGCACACTTCAATCCGAGCAGTACTTGCATTGGTGGCTAGTTAGGATTTTGCATTTAGAGCAGATGGATGTTAAACTGCTTTTTTGCATGGTGATTTAGAGAGCAGATCTACATACGGCAACCTGATGGTTTCACTCAACCTGGAAACGGCATTTAGTTTGCAGATTGAAGAAATCTTGTACGGGTTGAAACAGTCTCCGAGACATTGGTATAAACGGTTTGACTCCTATATGATCAAGATTGGCTACACCGATGTGAGTATGATTGTTGTGTCTATGTTAAGACCTTGATGATGGTTCTTTTATTTTTATTATTGTATGTTGATGATATGTTGATTGCTGCGAAGAACATGGATGATGTTATCGGTTTGAAAACTTTATTGAGTCAGGAATTTGATATGAAAGATTTAGTGCTGCAAAGAAAATTCTTGGAATGGAAATTTGCAGGGACAAGACTCAAGGAAACTGCGGCTATCTCAACGGGGTTATGTTGAGAAAATGCTAGAAAGGTTTGCGATGAGCAGCGCAAAACCAGTTAGCACTCCATTGGCGAATCACTTTAAGCTCTCATCAGAACAGTGCCCCAAGACAGATAAGGAAGCTGAAGATATGGCAAAGGTTCCGTATTCTAATGTTGTTGGCTGCTTGATGTATGCGATGGTATGTACTCGTCCTGATTTAGCTCATGCTGTTAGTCAAGTTTGTAAGTACATGTCTAAACCTGGTAAGCAACATTGGGAAGCATCAAGTGGATCTTTCGGTACTTAAAGGGTACTGTGGGACATGGAATTGTTTTTTGGGAGTCAGCGGGATAATCCTTTGGTTGATATGTGGATTCAGATTATGCAGGTGACTTGGATAATAGAAGATCTACGACAGGGTATGTGTTTACTCTTGGTGGAGGCCTATTTGTTGTCTACTGTTCAATCTGTCGTGGCACTATCTACAACTGAAGCTGAATACATGGCAGCGGCTGAAGCTGCAAAAGCTTTATGGCTTACTGGTTTAGTGAAGGAGTTGGGTGTTCAACAAGGTGGAGTTCAGTTGCTTTGTGATAATCAAGTGCTATTCACTTGGCTAAGAATCAGGTGTATCGTGCTAGAACTAAACATATTGATGTAAGGTTCCACAAGATCAGAGAGTTGGTTGCATCTGGAGAGGTTTTGTTTCAGAAGGTACATACTGATGAGAATGCCGCTGATATGTTCACCAAGCCAGTTACGACAGACAAGTTCAAGCATTGCTTGGACTTGTTGAATGTTTCGAGTTGTTAAAGAAGCAAGGTAACCCAACCCACATTGAAGTTTCCAAGGGGCAGGATATTCGCCAAGGTGGAGATTTTTTATGTATGGCTCATAAAAAGTCTCGTTGTGGGGTTACGAATTATGTGGGTTGGGGGTGTGGGGGCGCAGCCCCCGCGGTACGGTACAGGGTTGATTTTGTAATTATGTACCAGGTTTTCTATTATAAATAGAGATGTAACCTAGACCTAAAATATCATTGAATAAAATTCTAGCGCCGCCTAGGCTCCGAGGACGTAAGCACATTGCCGAACCTCGTAAAATTCTCGTGTTCTTTCGTTTTCTTTACCCGTTTTCGTCAACACTAATCAAAGAGAAAGCTTTGTTCGGGAAAATAACAAGGTTATGGTTTGCTGTCTAAGTTGGGGTTTCTGATTTTTCTGGGATTTGAATGTTAATGGAAGCTGCGGCGTTTCCTTAAGCGCGTTTGTACTCATTTTCCTACATAGGGTTGCTGCTGCAAGAATAGATGTTTCTTTTTGAAGCGTTATGGTTTCATTTTGAAGCGTTATGGTTTCATTTTGAAGCGTTATGGTTTCATTAGCTAAAAGAGTTTGAAGTGACTATATGGTGAAGAAAGTTTATCTCTTTTCTGTGTTTTGTTGGAGCAAAACAAGTCATTGGATTCCTTGAGAAAATTTCTTTCTTTTTTCTTTTTCAAATTGATCCAAGACTGTAAGCATGAAGGCTCCGCCAAGTGGATTTATGGCAAATTTTGCAGAAGGTCTGATTTATCTTAATTCATTCACTTTTACTTCCTTTAACTTAGTTTCATTTTTTTTAGTCAAAATGATCTTTGGCTTTTCCTTGTATGTCTGGTTGAGTGGTTGTCTTCCTCTGTTAAGCAGATCCCTCCCTCTAAGATGTTTTTGGTTTTAATAAATTATTACTTGGTATTAGTTTTGTTTCAATGTTCTACGTTTGTCAATGTAAAATGTCATATCTTTTTTGAGAAATCCTATGAAATCTCATTTTGATACAAATGGAAACAAGCAAGTTGAAGGTTGTGCTGAGTATCAACTTTACTCATTTTAATGGGATAAGGTTTAGGATCGATTGTTATTTGCAAATTGAAGGTGAAAAAGAAACAAAGGATGCACCAATACATACATGCATACATGCATACATTCATACATTCATACATGCATACATGCATACATGCATGCATGTGCGTGTGTGTCCAGTTCAAATATAAAGTTTTACATAGGAATATTCATGGTAACTTTTAATTGTGGATACCAGGCAATTGGGGAGTTTATGGATATTGGGAATATTTTTTTCCTTCAACTGGATGCTTTTTAATAATTTTTATGACTTTCTCGTTGTATTTGATTTCTTGGGTGTTTGATTAAAATTTTAGTTGGTTTTTGAAAGCAGCAGAAAGGAAGAATATCAATTCAGAATTATGGCAATTTATTCTGCATATTAAGGTAGTTTACTTATTTAATGTTTATAGGCATTTGAATAACATATCTAAATGCATAATGACTTCTTTGCAGGTCAACCAAAGAGGCACCTTTTGACTACTGGTTGGAGTGTCTTTGTTAGCATGAAACGGCTCTTCGCTGGTGATTCCGTCCTTTTCATAGGTGTGATTCATATACATACATACCTACACACACATGCATGCACAGACTTTATATGTTTGTATGCATTCCACAGAATTTCAATAGATTATTCATTTTGTATCTTAACTGAAATTCTTTGCTTAATTGTAGAGATGAGAAGTCTCAACTTCTCTTGGGTACAAGGCATGTAAATATACAACAGCCAACTCTCTCTTCATCAGTAATTTCTAGTGATAGCATGCATATTGGGATCCTTGCTGCTGCAGCTCATGCTGCGGCAAATAACAGCCCGTTTACTATATTCTACAATCCAAGGTATCGGTATACCGCATTTGGTAGTATATAGATTCATTTTTATTCTAATAATCAAAAAAGGATATTAATTGAAGATCTGAAATGATTTTATTAATTTGACAGGGCAAGCCCTTCTGAGTTTGTGATACCCTTAGTGAAGTATAACAAAGCTATGTATACCCAAGCTTCCCTTGTCATGCAGTTTAGAATGATGTTTGAAACCAAGGAGTCTGGGGTACGCAGGTACATGGTACCATTACTGGTATCAGCGACTTGGATCCTTTGAGATGGAAAAATTCACAGTGGCGTAATCTTCAGGTATTTTTACTGACAACCTTAATGCCAATATTAGCCTCTGTTTTATTTTGCATTTTTTTTCAGAAGATGTTAGGCATTATTAACATGCAGATATTAAGTTACATCATGGTTGTGTCATTCATAATACATAACTTATCATGTGAACTTGCTACCTATTGGGGCTTATAGAAGTCAAGTGTTGTTGCACAGGGAGGAAATACCACTTATTATTTTTTTGGGCTACTTTTTTATTCTCGACAGGTTGGATGGGATGAATCTATAGCTGGTGAGCGGCGAAGACGAGTTTCAATTTGGGACATTGAGCCTGTCATAACTCCTTTCTACATTTGTTCACCTCCATTTTTCAGGCCCCGGTTTCCCAAGCACCAGGGATGCCAGGTAAATCATATTTTCCTTACATATCTCACTTTAAACATTGACAAGTAATAGGAAAAATTCAAGAACTAGTTTTAACCTTTTAAGAGGTTTGCAGATGACGAGTCTGATATGGAGAATGCCTTCAGGAGAGCTATGAATTCTATTCTGCAGTTTGAACTTCAGTAAGATTTTATCTACCTTGATAGATATATAACTACCATGGCTCATAACTAGCTTATAACAAACAAAAGCTGTTGGTCCAAATTAAAACATGAAGTAATTTTTGTTGGATGTTTGTTTATTGATTTTCGTCGTTTCTCTTCCTTCAGACGGAGGAGAAGTATCACATTATGTTGATACTCTGGTAGACCAGATACGGACTTGTAATAATATACTTCAGCAAGTATGTTCTTCATGTTTTACATCTCCATGTATTCTCATTTCCTTTTCTAGCTATTTTATTAGGTTATATCCGTATTTTTTGCAAGATTTTAAAGCTTGCAAGTGTTTCTGTGCAGGTGGATGAGATGAGACATTGAACCTATTTAATGAACTACAACTGCAACACCAAGCTGTAGAAACAAAAACTAAAACTCTTCATGATGCATGTGATCGATTGGTATGGTTTTCGTTTGGATGACTTAGGATCTAATTTCATCTTCTTGTTTTCGACTTCTTGACTTTGACTTTATGCTTAATGCCTATAATCCACTTATTTTTTAGGTGAAAAATTTGTTTTAAGGTTTACTGATTGCCTTGCTAGCATGTTCTAAATGCAGGTAATGGAGAAGCAAAGTTTGATTGAGTTTGCTGAAGCACTTCGCAGTAAGCTCAAGTATTTTGATGAGTTGGAGAATGTACGGTTTGAATGCTACCTTAACTAGACATCAGTTTATGTGTTACTTCCTTGCCTTTTCTTTTTATTTATCCTTTTGGATTTATGTTCCAGTTTAAGTGTCTTGATGAATTGTTGTTGGTGTGGTATTTCTGAAATACATGATTTGTCTAATTTTACCTCTTCTGTACAGATTACTTCAAACTTTTACTCTCCAAACATGAATGTTGGAAACACAAACTTTCTCTCACTTCTTAAACAGCTTGATGAGTGCATATTGTAAGTTTGCATCTGAACCTAGTCCAACTGTGCCAATAGTTTTTCTTCTAGTTTATCTTCTTTGTAATATATTGTCTCTGAATCCATTGTTTTCATTGTTGTTTGAATTGAAGGTACATTCCTGATGAAAAGAATCAACTGAAGTTGCAGATCGATACAATGTTTTTTTTAATTGAAATAGAAAGAACCTAGACTAAATTCCAGTGAATAATTTGAACTATGTTACATTTTAATTTTATTTTATAAATTTTGATTTATTTTTCTATATAATTTGTGTCGTAATTAAATTTTAGGTTTATTGTTATTAGATAATGTTATAGAATATTAAATTTGTGTAATATAAAATAGAAAATGATATATGCAAAATCAGTTAACCATAGCGGTGTTTGTAAATAAAAGTCACCAGAAGTCAGGTTTTTTTGCGGCATTTTGTGAAGAAAACGCCACTATATACATAGTTATTAGCGGCGTTTTTTTACTACAAATGCCGCTAAATATCATAACATGTAGAGGCGTTTTAGAAAATAAACACCGCTAAATATCATAACATGTAGAGGCATTTTAGAAAACAAAATGCCATTAAAGACAAGGTAATTTGCGACGTTTTTCTCAAAAACACTGTAATAGATCTTGATCTTTTGCGGCGTTTTTTGTTCACAAACGCCGCTATAGAACTAGACCTTTTGCAGCGTTTTTTGTTCACAAACGCCTCTTCCTTTTGTGGCGTTAGTTTTAATGGCACTTCTTGCAGTGTTTTTACATAGGCCAGGAAAGCTTTAAACGGCGCTTCAAAACGCCACTATAAAGCTAAAAAAACGCCGCTAAAATCCTATTTTGCTATAGTGGCCGCTTGTGGGGTGTTTCCATGGCGCTAGCTCTATGTTTTTCTTCTTGGTTTTATGTTGTTCTATGTGTGCCTTGTGCGCCTGGTTGTTCTTGAACTTAGGTGGATGTTTTTGGATTGTTACAGTGGTTAATAATTAATTATTGGGCACTCTTTTCTCCTCCCACTATCTCACTCAAGTTTCGACTAAATCAAGAGAGGTTTTTTTAGCCAAGCTCTTTTCCTTTTAAAAAAAAGGGTGAAAACTCGATTGCTTAACATCTGGGAAAGTATAAGACAATATATTTTTAAAGATAACTCTAAATCATTTGACATTGAACACTCACACCCCTGGCACTCTTAGTGCTCAAACCTGAGACCTCAATGAATAACAATAATTCCTTTACCGTCGAAGTTGTTTGGTTCGTACTTAATTTTAATATATGGTATCACTGTTTTCTGGTTACCAGTTGTTAATCTCTTTTGTATGAAGAAACATGGTATAATTATTTTAATAATCTAAGTGATTACAATTATCTATTAAAAAAAACTATTGATAATGTACACACCTGCAGACACAAACGAAATTGCTTGAAGTTAGAACTTTAAGGAAAAAACAATAATCTCTTTTAATCACAGAGACCAATTGATGGATTCGTATGGTATAAAAACTTTCAGTAATTCAGATTAAGAATGAAAGTATATTTTAATAGAGACATAATTATAAAATAAGTGTTCAAACTATACCAATTTTCTCAAATAGGTGCCCAAACTTTTGATTTGAAACATTCAAGTGCCTAACGTTATAAACGTTATCACTTTAGGTGTCTCGGCCATGATTGTCATTACATTTCTTCGTTAAGTGACACATATCGCATTTTGGTAATTTTGATTTTTTAAATAAAAATATTATTATATTTATTAAAAAACTCTAATTTCTCTTAAATTAAAAAACCCCAAATCCTTAAAAATCTTAAATCTCTAACCTTAACCTACTAACGTCGCCCTTGCCAGACACAGCCACCACCGCGAACATAGTCAATGCCATCTTTCTAGCCATACGCCGCCATAGTTGATGACGATTAGCGTCGAGATTGCAATGGGTCATGATTTTTAACGTAGGGTTCGCGGGATACAAACATCGATTGGGCGTCGATTGGTCACAATTTCATAGGTTTATTGATCATCAAGGGGAGAGGAGATTGAGTGGATCTTCGTCGACAACAATGAGCGACAACTAGTGTGGGTTTAGGGGTTGAAATGATGGTTTTTAAAGTTTTGGGGTATTTCAATTTTTTTAATTTTAAATTTATTAGAACATAACACGTGTCCTTTAACGACAGAATTTAACGGCAGTTATAGCATGAACACCTAAAGTGGTAATATTTGTAACATTAGGCACCTGGACGATTCAAAAAAAAAAGTTTGAACACCTATTTAAGAAAAATGATATAATTTGGATACTTATTTTATGGTTTCATGTGGCAAGCTTTACATGCTCAATATTTTTATTATATTTGATATATTACATCAAATTATAATAGAAAGTTTTTAAAAAGGCGATGAACACCAATTTATTTATGTACGAGCATACATTATTTTCTAATATAATACAACATAACATATTCATATTGTTTTTCTATAACAAATTGATTATGATTAATTAGGATACAAGCTGGTATTATATTGATCCAAAAAGAGATGGTATAAGATTTAGGAATTTTAGCTTGTAAGATTAAGTTCGAATTCTACAACGTTACTCTTGGCGGGTAATTTTTAAATTCATATGTAAATCCCAATTGAATCTTGTTAAGCTCTGACTCTGGACTGGAGGAATCACCCCTGACCTAAATTTTTGGTAACCAAAAAAAATTATGAATATAAATACATATCCAAAATCTCAAAATAAACATGAACTCATGTATATAATGAAGGGTATAATGTAGTCATATGATTATCAACTTAGTAGAGATTATCAATACATCTTTAAAAGGAACAGATCATTTTCTTATAACTATCCTCGTAAAATAATCATATTATTTGGATAATTGTGTGCCTAAGGAAACAGGCCCTTGTTTAGATGTATAACGACCATATTATCGACCTAAAATTTAAGACTGGCATTTAAAAACTATAGGTTACCTCAAACGCGATGTTGATTTTAATTTTTTTTCATGTAGAAAACGTAGCTCGTGTTACAGAGATGAAGTGACCCGTGAAAGGTATTCCGTCAAATTTAGTCTAGGTGAATTTGCAATAGAGAAAATCGCCTCAGTGACCAAAAAAAAGTTATAATATACGATTTTAACCAACTTTTTTTGGATTTGCCAAAATGACCAACAAAATCGCAACGCGAAATAAAAATCGCAACGCGATCCCCAGAATCGCAAATCAGTTTCCAGAATCGCAACGCGATTCTTGAAAATCGCGATGCGATAGTACAAATTCGCATTGCGATTTTCCATAATCGCAACGCGAATATGAAAATCGCAACGCGAACACATAAATCGCAACGCGTATCCGTAAATCGCAACGTGTATCCGTAAATCGCAACGCGTATGGGTAAATCGCAACGCGTATGGGTAAATCGCAATGCGTATCCGTAAATCGCAACGCGTATCCGTAAACCGCAACGTGTATCCGTAAATCGCAACGCGTATCCGTAAATCGCAATGCGTATCCGTAAATCGCAACGCGTATCCGTAAATCTCAACGATAATCCGTAAATCGCAACGCGTATCCGTAAATCGCAACGATAATCCGTAAATCGCAACGAGAATCTGTAAATCGCAACGATAATCCGTAAATCGCAACGAGAATCTGTAAATCACAACACTGAAATTTTGGGTATATAACACTGAAATCATAAACTAAATCCCTCGGCAACAGGTCTTAGTTTCGCATCTCGTTTGTTTAGTTACAACCATGAAATCATCATCTAATGTTGATCATGTTTGGATAGATTTGTGTTTTGGAGGGTCATGGGATAATGTTAATGGTGTTTTACAATATATGCCTTTACCCATAAATCTTCAACTAAAATTGTCTTTACAAAAGTTAACTTATGAAACTCTAATGCTACGTGTTTCAAATAAATTGAATTTAGAGCCCCTAAGTGGATTTAGGCTATCTTATCAGAGAAATGGTAAAGTTTATTTGTTAACCGACAATGAAGATGTTGAACGATTCATTGCTTACATTAGTGTTTCACAAGATGATGTACATTGTATGTTGTTGAACCTAGAAGTAGTATTGTTGGGTCAGTAGCGGGTAGTAATCAACTAAGTTTTTCTCAAAACCCACAACCTTTCTCTAATCCAAATCCCAATCAACTTTCAGCACCAAATTCCGGTTTTCGTATTGACCAGTTAGACGATGATGAGCCAACAGAAAAAATTGTGAGTACTAGTCAGTATTCGAAATTTGGTCTTGGTCAATATCCGGACTTTGATATTGGTCAATACACGGATTTTGATGATGTTTCAGAAGAAGAAACAGACCATGTGTGTAATGATTTTAATATTGGTCAATACCCGAATTTGATGATGAAACACCCGTTGCCGAGGAAGATGTTGTTGATGATAATGAGGAGGAGTTACGACTGTGAATGAACATGTTGAACATCCATTCTGTAATTCATATAATCCTGAAGAAGAAAAAGAAGAAGAAAAAGTCCCCGAAGAAAAGAAAATGCCACGGGAGTATAACTGGAATATGCCAGAATTACTTCAGTTACCGGAAGAAGAGTTGGCAAAGAAAGCAGTTGATTGTTACACAAAAGTTATTCGTGTCAAGAAAGATGATTGTTTTGATACAAAGGAAGACTTGAAGATAGCTTTGTATACGAAATGTGTGGAAGATGGCTATCAACTAAAAGTTAACAAATCAAGCAAAGATCGTTTCGAAACAAGGTGTATGATTGACAAAAACTGTACGTGGCGTATGATTGCAAAGAAAATAAAAGATTGCAAAATGTTTCAAGTTAGGACTTTTATTGATAAACATACATGTTCAAGAACCCAAGTTTTTCCTCACCATAGACAGGCAAACAAAAAGGTGTTGGGTGGTTTTCTGGCTGAGTTAATGTTTTTGAATGGCAGGGTATATCGGGGACATGAAATTATGACTGACATGAATGCTCGGTTCAAGATTAGTATATCAT